TTCCCAAAAGAGTGCTCAGCCATTGGAATGGGCTGCCCAGAGAGGGGGTGGATTCTCCATCCCTGGAGGTGTTTAAGCACAGACTGGATGTGGCATCAGTGCCATGGGCTGGGAACCACAGTGGGGTTGGATCAAGGGTTGGAGTGGATGATCTCGGAGGTCTTTCCTGACCCAGCTGGTTCTCTGATTCCCTGATTTTCTTTCACATCAGACAGTTACCTTCTCACACTTTGTGTTCCTGAGTTTTGGTTTCTCTGTCTCTCCAGGGCAGGAGGTTTCAGCAGGGCCGTCCTGCCTGGGACGTGCACCTGGACCCGAATAATGAGATATATTGGAGTTAAAACAAGAGAGAGGGCCCAGAACCCCTGGAAAGGCTCCAGTGGGGCAGTTCTGAGGGTGGTACCGGGGGCAAGAGTGGTTTTTGGGTTGGACGTACCCACTAGATACGGAAATCAGTTAAAGACATAAAAGTGTGCGAGGTCTGTGTGTGGGTTTGAGCCTTTGTGCTCCCTGCACCTGAAAGCTTTCCTTGAAGAGCTGCTCTCTCCCTTGTCTGGACTAACACCATCTGGGGAGTTTTTTCTCCCGTTTTGGGCGCCCCCCTGACCTGTGTGCCCCCCAGGCCCCCGTGCTGCAGTACCTGTACTACCTGGCCCAGATCGGCATCGCCATGTCCCCCCTGAGCAACAACAGCCTGTTCCTGAGCTACCACCGCAACCCCCTCCCCGAGTACCTGTCCCGGGGCCTCATGGTGTCCCTGTCCACCGATGACCCCCTGCAGTTCCACTTCACCAAGGTGGGCCTTTGGGGAGGGGGGCACCGACCACAGACACCCCCGGGGTGGGCACGGGGGGGGCAGCCCCAGGGGGCTGAGGGGGCCGGGGGGGAGGAGGTGGAACCCCCATCTGGGCGGGTGGGAGGGAGTTGAGGGGGGTCTGTGGGTGGGATCTGGGGGGTGTCTGGGGGATGTCCTTGGGTGGGTGGAGCTGAGGATTGTCCGTGGGGTGTCCCTGGGTGGTCTCCGAGGGTCCCTGGGTGGTCCCTGAGGGGTCTCTGAGGATCCCTGGAATGTCCCTGGGCTATCTCTGAGGGGTCTCTGAGTGTGGAAGCTCAACTCCTGTGGGGTGACCCTGGGTGGTCTCTGAGGGGTCTCTGAGGGTCCCTGGGGTGTCCCTGGGTGGTCTCTGAGGGGTCTCTGAGGGTCCCTGTTGCAGGAGCCCCTGATGGAGGAGTACAGCATCGCCACCCAGGTGTGGAAGCTCAGCTCCTGTGACATGTGTGAGCTGGCCCGGAACAGCGTCCTCATGAGCGGCTTCTCCCACAAGGTGATGCCCTTTCCTGCGTCCCCCTTCCCGAGTCCCACATTCCCATCCTCCATCTCTCCATCCCCATCCCCTCCCCATGCCCCCATTCCCCCTCCCGTGGTGCCAGGCCCCCCCTGACCCTGTGGGTGCCCCCTCAGGTGAAGAGTTACTGGCTGGGCCCCAACTACCAGCGGGAGGGCCCGGAGGGGAACGACATCCGCCGGACCAACGTGCCCGACATCCGCGTGGGATATCGCTTCGAGACGCTGTGCCAGGAGCTCACCCTGCTCACACAGGCGCTGCAGGGGGCCGAGCTGGAGCCCATCCAGGAGGAGGGGGGCATCACCATCGCCCTGGGCACGCACTGAGACCCCCCAGAGACCCCCAGGACCCCGCGGGACCGCCCGACACCCCCAGTAGCCCCCGACCCGCGGGCACTGCAGGGGGCAGAGCTGGAGCCCACCCAGGGGGAGGGGGGCATCACCACCACCCTGGACACACGCTGAGACCCCAGAGACCCCCCAGGGCCCCCCGACATCCCTGATGCCCCCAGGGCTCTGCCAGTGTCCCCCCACCTACAGGTGCTGAGCTGGAGCCCACCCGGGGGAGGGGGCATCACCATCACCCTGGGTACCCCCTGAGACCCCCAGAGACCCCCATGAACCCCCCCCCACGAGACCACCAATCCCCCCAGGGCTCCGGTGCCATCCCCCCCACCCGCTCCCACCGCTGTCCCGGTGCCGCCGAGGGGGACACGGTTTGTTGGGTCCTTGTCATTTCTGTCTGGTTTGGGGCATTTTTGGGGTCTTGTTTTGTCATTTTTGGGGTCTTTTTTGGGTCTTTTTCTGTTTTTTTTAACTGGTGTTTCTTTGCTGGGTTGGGCCCTGCCAGGTTTGGTGGCACCAGGTTTGGTGGCACCAGGAGGTGACGTGGGGACAGTTTGTTGGATCCTCTCCATTCCATCTCGTTTTGGTCATTTTGGAGGGCTTTTTTTGGTCTTTTTTTTGTCTTTTCCTGCCTTTTACAACCAGTGTGTACTCCCTGGGTTTGGTGGCACCAGGAGGTGACACAGGGACAGAGTTTGTTGGGTCTTCTCCATTTCGTTTGGTTTAGGTCATTTTTGGGGGCTTTTTTGGTCATACTCTGGTTTTTAACAGGTGTTTCCTCACTGGGTTGGGTTGGGCCCTGCCAGGTTTGGTGGCACCAGGGGACACAGTTTGTTGGGTCCTCTTTGTTTTGTCTCATTTTGGCCTTGTTTTGATCCTTCTTTGGCCTTTTCCTGCCTTTTTTAACCGGTGTCTCCTCGCTGGGTTGGGCCTTGGTGGCACCAGCAGGTGACACAGGGGGGTCCTGCCTTCACCCCCATGGTGGGGACACAGTGACAGGTCAGGGGTCCCTGCTGGGGGTGTGGGGGCAGCGTGGGGGTCCCAGCCCACCCCCCCAGCTCCTGGCCCTCCTTGACCCCCCCACCCTCTCTCCGTCCACTCTCCCCCCCAGGGGACGTGGGGACAAGCCCAGGGGGCTCCTCGGGGACCCCAACATGGGGTCTCTGCCCCTTCCCACGGGGGGACATGTCGGGGGGGACATGGGGGGTGGTGCTGGGGGGGGATCCCTCCTCACCCTCCCGGGGCTGAAGGCAAAGGGGACACGGTGACCTGTCCCTGGGCCCCCTTTTCCCAGGATTTGTGGCCCGGATGAGGCTTCTCCCGTCCCTGTGGGGGCATCACCCCCCCATCCCTGCGACCCCCAGTCCGGCCCCCCCCGCAGCCGCAGCTGCTCCCGGGAAAACCTGAAAACCAACCAAAAACGGTTCAACCCAAACAAAACCCGTTCAGCCCAACCCCCGCCCCCAGCATGGAAAATAAAGTATTTAAGTACAACGCTGGAATTTCACTGGGGGGGAGGCAGGAACTGGGCGAGGGGCTGAGGGACGGGGGGGGAGGGCTGTGTCCCCTCGGGGGGTGGGTTTGGGGGTCCCCGAGGCCAGGGGGGGTC